TAGTCATCTGTACTGGTATGTATGTAATCTTATTTGAGAAGGTGTCTGATTTAGTGAAAGGAAACCATGTGATTGTGTGTTCAGTAACCATTTAGATCTAAATGTAGTGACCTGGAAATCCATTCTTTTGTTAAGTGAAAAAAAGTTGCAAATTAAGGCAGACACTTGTATGTAAGTGCAACAGTTTCCAGTGTTTATTCTGCATTCAGTAAACATTTCTGTTGACACCTGGAAAGTTTGTCTACTTATATATGCCTTTGATAAGCTATTTTAGATAAGAAAAATCATACTTTTTTAAAAAATCATACTATATGAACCCATCAGATAAGGGTTCAAGTTCTAAATGTCATTTAACTTTGTAATACTGGCCAATTTAGGGAATGTCTCCCAACTTCAATTTCTTCAGTTTTTACGTGGAAATGATGATAACCTACAGAGTAGTAAGATTTAATGAGTTACATAGACAGTATAGAGAAAAGTAGTGCAGACTATCACATTGTGTACTCGTAAGTGCCCTTTGTTTAAGCAACTAAACCTATTACAAGTATTACACTTTGTCTGCAAAATCATCAGAGTTTATCTTCTTAATGTATTTAATACTTCTTATTCAGAATATTAAATTGGAACTGAGTGAACTGAGAAAAATCTATCCCACAGAACTACTGCAGAGCTTCATGTTGTACCTTGATACCATGTGGAGGAAGTAGGATAGTATAGTGCTTAAGAGGGGATTTCTGCAGGCAAAACGGGTAGATTCCTTGCAGACTTACATTTAAACTGCGTCTGCACATGTTATTTAACTGTTGTCTTATTTCCTTCCTCATCTATAAGATGAAGATTGTAAACTATCTTACAATGGTAGTAGTAATGATTAATAAAATCATATATAAAGTGTTTAGCACATTGCTTAAAGTATGTTGTGTCTATAACAATTTTACTAGCTTATGCTTGTTTATTATGTATTTAATGCCTGTTATCTGAAATGTAGTAATCTTTTTCTTAAATCTTATCTGTGTGTCAGCTTATTCAGATGATTTTTCTAAAAAGTGGAAGCAGGTGCATTTTAATCACACCAGTAGTTGTATACAAATTATAGAATTATCGTTTTTTTTAATTTGTAGAAAGTATAGCATTTAGTGGAATTGTGTTTCAGTGTTTGAAATCAATATTTCTTTCCCTTTTTTGAACCTTTGGGTTTTCACAATAAAGCAAAAGCACTCTTCAGTACAAGGGAAATTTTTTCCTCTTCTAAAACTAAGCAAAAGTATATTTTTTACCTTATTAATATGTTTCATATTTGAGAAATGAGGTTGAGAGATCCATTGTTAAAGCAATGTTGTTCAGTGTAGTTATGTTTTGCTTTTGTTTTTGAGACAGTGTCTCACCTTGAACTCATTATGTATCCCAGGCTATCCTTAAATTCGTAGCAATCCTACTGCCTCTGCTTCTGAGTGCTGGGATTACAGGCAGCGAGTGTGCCACCTTGCTTGGTGTGTTGAGCATAGTTAAAAGGACCCTTTGAATATAGTTCTCAAATCTATAATTTAGACAGAATGTATCTGTGAAATATGGGAATATGTTTAAACCTACCAGTGTCTTAGACTAAGAAAAGGAGGACTTATTATGTCAATGGCTGCAATGTAATACCTGCCTTCTTTGTCTACAGAAGTTAATGAGTTTTTTTGTTTGTTTGTTTTTTGTTTTTGTTTTTGTTTTTTTTTGGTACTGGGGATCGAACTCGGGACCTTGAGCTTGCGAGGCAAGTGATGGAACCACTGAGCTAAATCCCCGGGCCAGAAGTTAATGAGTTTGAGTAGTTTTCCTCTAATTCTCATTTTAGGATTTTTATTGTAATTTTTAAAAAACTTGAGGCCAAAAATTGTCTGGTGAAGTGAAGACACAGTGCTGATACTCTATGTGAAATAGTGTTTATTTTGTTTTGAAATGTTTATATTAATGTTTAAAATTATTTTTTTAATTTAGTTATCTTTGTAGATAATGTTTTGTGTAGTAATTAACAAATACACAAATTATTACAAGTACAGTTGGGTTATAATTTCATGTTTAGTTAGACCATTTGAAGTATAAATTGGAATTCTTAGAGGCCATATTTGTGTTTGTGTGTGTGTGTGTGTGTGCACGTGTGTGCATTCACATGTGCAGATGCGCATGCACGTGCTGTGGATTGAAGTCAGCACCTTGTGCATGCTAAGCCTGCATTCTACTACTTCATGCCCCAAACTCCTCCCTATTTTAATAGTAAAATGGAAGAAAACAAAGAATGTACAGCTATAACTTTTAGTTAGAAGAGGGAAGAAAAGTAGGAAAATCAAGAGGAAAGAGCACAGTAGACACAGTGATTCAGGGGTGACCAGTTTTACACAAGTTTAAATAGGGAAAGAATTTTAAGAATTAAAATTAATTAGGGTCTGTACTTTCACACAGAAATGAAGGTAAGGCTGGTTAAGAACTTAATAGCCTTTAAACATCATTTCTTTTCTTTTCTTTTCTCTTTTTTGTGATACCAGCAATTGAACTCAGGACCTTGCACTTGTGAGGCAGGTGGCAGAACCACTGAGCCAAATTCCTGGCTCTAAACATTTCTCATTTAAGAGATTTTTTTTTTCTTTGTTAGCATCTGTTTCACAGAGCTGGTGAATAATCCAGAGCAAGTTTAGCTTCAAGACCAAGTTCATTTTTTTGTTTTTGTTTTTTTTTAAGATCAAGTTCATTTTTAAGTTTTGTGTCATTGGGGTCTGGAAAAGAAGTGAAAGTTGTCTTCAGCATTGTAGTTAATCTAACTAGAAAAACTCCTTCTCCCAAAAGAACTGGTTAAGGAAGTTTTCTGTGATGTAGAAGACTGATTATAAATGTGTTACAACATGCCAGGCTGGCGTGGGGAGCAAGGCATCTAATCGTACTGAGTGTAATACCTTCATATAGCTAAGTAAGAAGACTATATTATGTTCAGGGATTGTTCAATAATTTATTATAATTAAGAAGTTCCTCTAAATGTTCCTTTTATGGTTAAATTTCCTTAGCTTTATAGATGTTTTATTTGAAATATGGTATTATAATAAGGTTTTAATTTCAATAAAGGAATTCCTCCAGTCATATCATATTGTGTAATGTGATATTGACCAGTACAGTACAAAGCAAATTTTTTTTCAAAGCAAAGTTAAAAAATACTCCAAAACAAAATTTTTTAAATGGGTTAAATTTATATATATAGAATTTTTGTCTTTCCTTAGGCTGAAAACTGATGAGAATAAATTTTGTGAGGAGTTACTACTGATAGTAGAGTGTATCCTTTATTTCTTTAACACTTAGCACAGTGTCTGACATACTGAATTATTTGGAGAGATTTTTGTTGTTGAGTATGGGTTTTGGTGTATGTGGCCCAGTCTGGGTACAGTGAATCCTGCATCAACCCCTTTTTTTTTTTTGTACCAGGAATCGAACTTGGGACCATGCTCTTGTGAGGCAGGCAGTTGAACCACTGACCTAAATCTCCGGCCTCTCAGCCTCTTGAGTAGCTGAAACTAGAGGCATTTGCTATCATGCCCTGCTCAGAAAAAAAAATTTTTAATTATTAAAATAAATGGTTAAGGGCCAGGGATTTGGGTCTGTGGTTCCGCCACCTGCCTTGAAAGTGCAAGGGCCTCAGTTCAATCTCTGGTATCCCCCCAAAAAAAGAATGAAAATAAATGTTTAGGTTAAGTCTGTGAGGGTAAGGAATGGGGCTGTAATCTTTTCTTTCTTTTTTCTTTTTTCTTTT